CCACCTGCCTCTGCCTCCCGAGTGCTGGGACTAAAGGCGTGTGCCACCATTGCCTGGTCCACTCTTACATCTTGCATCACTGTTTCTTCTCATGTTCTCTGGAGTCTGTCTTATGCCTAGATTCATATCCCCTTCTCTCTGCCCAGAAGTCCTGCCTGACCTTTCTGCCTAGCTATTGGTCATTCAGCTATTTATTAAACCAGTCAGAAGGAGCCTTGGCAAAGACACATTTTCACAGTGTACAAAAGTTTATTCCACAACACTCACCCCCATCCCCCAGTGACACACGTCTTCCCACAAGGCCACACCTACTAATCCTTTCAAATAGTGCCACTTCCTAGAGAGCAAGTATTCAAATCTGTGGGCCTATGGGGGTCATTCATAAACAAACCAACACAGACGGCTTCACCCTTGTGGCTCTGCTGTCTGCAACACACTTCTCTCTCTCTCTCCAGCAGACTCCACTCCTTAAGTACAGTTCTTAAGTTCAACTTACCTTTCTACTTGAGAGGGAGTGTTTGCTTGGTTCAGGAAAGTCTGTTGTGGAGGGCGAGGTGATGCTTTTCTTTTATACTTGTGCAAGGTATCAAGATTTCTCCTCGGTGGTCTAGCAGTAAACCCATCATGAACATGGAGTGCCAGTTGCCTATAAAACAGTCATTCTTTCCTTTAGCATTATGGAGAGTAAAGAGACACCACCAGCACTGTGTGTACTAGTGTATTAGTTATGGTGGTTATGAGTGGAAAAAATTAAAAAAAAAGAGCTGGGTGGTGGTGGCACACGCTTTTAATCCCAGCACTCAGGAGGCAAAGGCAGGCGGATCTTTGTGAGTTCCAGGCCAGCCTGGTCTACGAGTGAGTGCCAGGGCAGCCTCTAAAACCACAGAGAAACCCTGTCTCAGACAAACAAACAAACAAACAAAAAACATTAAAAAGAAGGGAGAAGTCAGTGACAGTAACAGGTTATCATGTAGAGGAAGGGGCATATACACAGGAGAAATGGTAGAAGAGGAGAATAAATGAGATAGGGGAGTTTTGGGTATAACGAGACTAAGAAGTATAACACAAATAATAAAAGACCCAGAGTCCGATATTGGGGTTCAAGTTGAAGATCAGAGAAGCAAAGCAACCAGCCACTAGCTCTTATCTCTACCTCAGGCTGAAAGTGCTGTCCTGTCTCCATGAGTCCTTAGAGACAGTGCTACCTCCACGAATCCTTAGAGGTAAAAGCCCTGAGTTCTTGTCTCCTCCTGCCTTATATTCCTTTCTCTGCCCAGCCAGCCATATCGCTCCTGTCTCCACTTCCCTAGTGCCAATCCCAAGTGTTGGAATCAAAGTCGTGAGCTCTGTTACTCTTGACTTGTGTAGGCCAGAGAGATCCATCCGCCTGTCTCCTGAGTACTGGTAATAAAGGTCTGTGCCACCAGTGCCTGGCTCTTGACTTGCGGCTAGCTTTGCATTCTGAACCCTCAGACAAGCTTTAATAAATCATAAATAGTATACCACCACAAAGAAGAGAGAGTTAAAGATATGTATAAAAATAACAGAGCAGTCTTCTCTCTCAGGAGGTTGAATCACAGACTAGAGCAACCAGGATGCTAGGATAGAGAGAGAAAAGAAAGATAATAGAATAAGAAAGAAAGTCAGCGTGGTGGTGATGGTGGTGCACGCCTTTAAACCCAGAACTTCGGAAACAAAAGTCAGACCTGGTCTACAAAGTGAGTTCCAGGACAGCTGGGACTGTTACACAGAGAAACCCTATCTCAAACAAAAAGAATATTAGAAAAGAAATGAAACCCAGCAACATTGAGGGACTATGATGGCCTGCTACATTGACCTGGGTGTATTTTATAAACAAAAAAGAGCTGTGGAAGGAAACTAGAGCTGGGAGGAGCCTGGGTGTGAGACCAGATACTCTCCTGACTCTCTGACCTAGTAGGCGCCCTGGAGTTCGGGCCAAAGTCTCTGTATATTCAGCGTCAGAGGTGACTCGAGCTGGGACTGGAGAGCAGGTGGGCTCTCTGGCTTCAGATGGTGAAGCAGGGCAGGTGGGCTCTAGTTGCTAATGGTTAACCAGGGTTGCGGTTGAAGAATGGGCAGGCTGTTGTGTCTCTTCCCACTTCTCTGACTGAAGTCCTGTCGGGTGTGTTACTTAAACTCATGGCTTGAGTGCTAGAATTACAGGTGTGCACTATCACACCTGCCCCTGCACAGACATCTGGAAAATAGATAAGGAATTTTCAGATTTCTGTAGATAAATTCTCGTCTTCCATTTGGAACCCTGTCTGTCCTTTGGCCCAGTTTGCTTGTAATGTGACTTGATATTGCATGATTCCCTTCTTACAGACCTGGACTGGTTCCTCTCTAAGCTCTGGAGAGTTCTTAGGTCCTGTCTTGTGATTTTCAGATTTACATGTTTAATTTCTGGGAGTAGTTTCTGCTTAGATTACAATTGCTCATTTTTTTTTTTTTTTTTTTTTTTTTTTTTTTTTACTAATTATTTGGTTTTTAAAACATTGCTTGAGTGAATAAAGGAGTCTTAGGAACAGATTTCATCCCTGACTTACAATGGTGAACTTTGGCCAAAGTAATTGAAAAGAGTAATATCATGGGTGACATAGTTTTTGTATCTAAGTTGGTATTCTAGAAGCCATTGCCAAAATACCCCTTGGTGGAAGAGAAAGAACAGCTGGGTGTGAGAGCTCATAGAACTGGTCGCCTGGCCTGAGGAACACCTTTAGCAGATCACTGTAGGTCTAGAATTCACTAATCTTGTACAAGCAGGTAGCCTCAGCCTGTGAGCCCCTGGGCCCCTTGGCCAGTTTATATGACTCATTAGTGCAATTTCAGGCCTTGCTTACTGGCAGTTAAGAGTGGCTGTGACTGGTGTGCATACTGCTTGTGTAGGCGGCACATCCTCCTTTCGGGGTGGTCTGAGGTCTGTGCTTCTGTGGAGGAAGCCTTCTTTTTTCTGATGTCTCTCCCTGTTTGCTGCTCTGGTCAAATAGCCCTGGAAAGGCTCTATCCCTTTTTATTACCAGTTGGTATCTGGGAAACTTGAGCAAAGTAAGTCTGCTTCCAACCCCCTTTTGGTTTTTCGAGACAAGGATTCTCTGTGTAGCCTTGGCTGTCTTGGAACTAACTATGTAGACCAGGCTGGCCTCAGACTCCTAGAGATCTGCCTACCTCTGCCTGGGATTAAAGGTGTGCACTGTCACCCACCTGGCAGGTTTTTTGTTTTGTTTTCGTGTATTTTCCTTTGAGACAGGGTCTCACTAAGTAGACCAGGCTGGCCTCAAACACACAGAGATCCCACTGCCTTTGCCTCTTACTGGGATCCCACTCCATTTTATACTGACACTCTTGCCTTCTGGTCCATGATTTGGCCACATCCTGAACTAGAAGCTAATAAGCATTTTGATGTAAAATGTGTTTTATAAATGTACTAAAGCTCTCTTGTGTTATACTTTGAAAGGAAATAGGCTTGTTCTTTATAGAGAAAATTCGTTTCCTAACCTGTTAATTGGACTGCCCAAGACAAAATTCCCTTCTACTTTTCAGTGAGATTGCCCATACTTCTTAGCCAGGGGGGCTCACTGGTGTGGTTATGTGCATTGCAGTGTAGAATAGGTTGGTGGGTATTTAAACATTAGAAAACTAATCGTGTCTTAGGGTTAATTAACATCACTATGATGAAAGAGCATGACCAAAGCAAGTTGGGGAGGAAAAGGGTTTATTTTATTTATTTTCTTTAGGTTTTTCAAGACAGGGTTTCTCGGTGTAATACTACTGGCTCTCCTGGAACTCACTTTGTAGACCAGGCTGGCCTCAAACTCACAGAGATCTGCCTGCCTCTGCCTCCCGTGCTGGGATTAAAGGCGTGTGCCACCGTTGGGTACTGGCTTGGAAAGGGTTTATTTGACTTATCCCTCCACATCGTAGTCCATCATTGAAGGGAGTCAGGATACACGAGTTTAGACATGTGAGGCAAACTTTCTGTGTGTGTGAAAAAGATTCTTTCTGTTTGTTAATTTAACTAAATGATTTATGCAGGTGCAAAAATTAAGCTTCATTAAACCCTATTTAGTGAGTTTCTTTCATTTGGAAAGAATGAGCATTTCCCAGGTCTCTTTTAGAATTCGTTTGCTCCAGATGGGCATTGGTGGCGCACACCTTTAGTCCCAGCACTCGGGAGGCTGAGGCAGGCGGATCTCTGTGAGTTTGAGGCCAGCCTGGTCAACAGAGCCAGTTTCAGAACAGCCTCCACAGCAATACAGAGAAACCCAGTTTAAGGAAAAAAAAAATAACAAAACAAAAAATCTGTTTGCTGTGAAGTGACTTTCTGAAGACTGAGACTGCTCTGCATGAGGCTGATACTGCCACTGGCAGCTGCATCCTGTGAACATGCACCTGAGTGAGCCATGCACATCAAGCCCTTCGCTGCAAGTGACAGTGGGCTGTGCCCACCTGAAGATGGTTCTTCAGGGCTCTGCTCTGCTGATGCTGTTCCACTTTGAGTGTCTAGAAGTTGCTGGAGCCTTTGGGTAATCCTTTGCCCTGGTGGCCTTTGGTGTAGCTGTGGTTCAGTTCTACACTGGGTTTGAAATGGGGCTGACTCTGCCGCTTGTGGTCTTGAGGGGCCCAGGAGAGGGTGTGCAGTGGTCTCCAGTTAATAAGCCTAGCAAGGCTCTGGTCCTTGTCCCAGAGGCTAGGCTCTGCTGTCCTTCCCTAAGCAGGGCCTCTACCCATCCATCTTTCTGTTGTCTGGGAAATGACCAGCTCCTGGGCCATTTTTGGATAAGGCAGGGTCATTCCACACTGAGACTTGTTTGGTATAAGAAGCTGAGATTGCCAGGAGAAAAAAATTTCTTCAAGTCATCAACTCAGCTGTGTTGAGCCCTAGTCTCCTCCCATCTGTGGAAAGGCTGGAGTGGGAGCTGCATAGGTCCGACTAATGCCAGGTCTCCTGCTTTGTCCCTGATTGATATGGTTTGGTCTTCCAGGAAGAGGGTCATGGACTTGGTCACCCAGACGGCTATCCTGCCCCTGCTGTTTGGATGCCTGGGGCTTTTCAGCCTCTTCCGTGTGCTGCAGCGGATCCGCTCAAGGGCTTACCTGAGGAATGCTGTGGTGGTAGTTACAGGTGCCACCTCAGGGCTTGGCAGAGGTAAGTCATAGGTCTGTGATGCTAGGAGTGGAATCGTCAGGCTGTCTGGGGATCATAGACATGCAGAAGGGTCCCGCTGTCCACGGTCCAATAGGAAAAGATGGATGTGTAAGCAATGAGAAAGGCCCGAACCTTAGTGTGGGGGATGAAAGCGAGTAAAGAGGCTGCTGCTGGGAAGCAGTGGTCTTCCTCAGCTCGCCTGCGTATTGAAAGAGGGATTTTCAGAAGTGGAGAACCAGGTGAACAGGTGTGTTTACCTTTTCCTGCGTTTGGTTGATACACTGGCCTTGGGTTTCGGGCTTGGCGCTAGCTTTTAGGCTTTCCCCTCTTCCCTGATAGGAATTAGCAGGATTAGCGTCAGGTCCGTGAGATCCCTGCTTTCCACACCCAGACCTTCCAGGTCAGTGCCCTTGCCCTTCAGTTGTGCCTCTGAGTCTCAGAGAAGGTGTGCTGGATGAAGCTCAGGCCTTTCCTTCCCTGGAACTCTCGTCAGTGACTCCAGCAGCCCAGGCAGAGGCTTACCACGGACCGGACCTGCCACGGTAGAGCGCCTGCCCTCTTTCCTCAGCCTCTGTCCTGCAATAGCAGCCCCCCCCCCCCCCCCGTGGCTCCAGTGCCGTTCCAGAGAGGAAGGCTGAGGAGCCCTGGAACTGGGTTGCAACTCTTGCCTCAGTATATGTGGCCTCAGCAGTGTGTTCCCAACAGGTGTGGGGGGGGGGAGGACAGTTACCAGTGCTCTCACTGTGCTCTCTCAGCTGCGATTCCATGACTAGATCTGGGACTTTCAGCTGCAGAGCCTCAGGAGCCAAACCCAGGTCCGACTCCAGAGCTCCAGCCTAAAGCGGCAATGGGGGAAGAGAGAGCCCTTCAAAGAATGTATGGGTCCTAGGATAGTCCAGGTGCACCCACAGGCAGGAGCGGAGGGTGGGAAAGGTGTGGAAGGTGGGTGTTACAGAAACACAAAGGAGCAGCCGGGCCTGTAGGGTGCCAGGCAAGGTAGAGAAGAAGGCTCTTGGGCTCACTTGTACTCCTGACGCTATCTATGGCTGGTACTGTTTCGAGTACGGAGGTGCCAGGCTTCTGACCTTACTCAGCTACTATTAATAGGGTAGTCAGCAGCTGCTTCTTGGATCTCAGTGAAGAGGAAGGAGCATTTTGGGCTTATTTTTTATTTCACTTTGGAGACCGGGTCTTACTGTGAAGCCCTAGCTGTCTAAGAACCTGCTATATAGACCAGGTTGGCCTTGAACTGGTGATGGTTCTCTGGCCTCTGCTTCCCTGGTGCTGAGATTCCCATGCCTAGCTTGAGAAGAGCAAAATTTAAAGTCCTTAAAGAGTGACAGACAGCTGGCTAGATTGGAATGGTACGGTGCGAGGCTGGACATGTGGATGTGTAGGACACTGTCTTTTATCTACACTTGCTCTCCCAATACCAGACTGAAGGGAACAGAAAATGTGATTGAAGAAACTACATTGAGCATATTGTGTGGTATACTTTTCTGTGTTCTGGTTGGCATGCTTACAGTTTGCCCATGTAACAGCATGCTTATAGTCTGCTCATGTGTAATGAGATCTGGCGCCCTCTTCTGGCATGCGGGCATGTATGAAGATAGAATACTATACACACAATAAATAAATCTTCTAATATATATAGTTTCTTAGACCTATATATAGGTGTGCCTTGAGAAGATACATTCATGAGCATTTGCAGGACAGATTCACACTTATATCAGCTGGTTAGTTTGTAGAGGCAGTTTGGAAATATTAATGCACTGGCTAGGCAAGGTGGTGCATGCTTGTATCCTAACACTTGGATAGTAGAGGCAGGAGGATCAAGATTTAAAGGCCATCTTCAGCTACATGGTGAGTTTGAAGGCCAGACTAGGCTACAGGAGACCTTGTCTCCAAACAACAGAAAGATTAAAGTATTAAAGACAGGTATTAAAAATCTTCATATTGCTTTACCTGTGAAGTAATTACCTACTTTATCTCATTCAGCCTTAGTTCCCTCTGGATTAGGCACTATTAATTTATATCTCACAGAAGGGGAAAGGGAGAAACAGATTGTAACATAGCTGGATATCTTAAAACCTACATGAAAAGGAAGTTTAGAGTTGTACACAGACCTAGCTTACGTCCATTTTCAGGAGCACTGGGCTCCACTCTGTCCAAAAATGCGTATGTTGAGGCACTGAGAGTTAGCTAGGACATGTTTGGGGGTAAACAAGGAGCAAGAGACATTCCCGTTTTCTCTTCCTTAACATTGCTGCCTGAACCTCTTCTCCAGTCCAGCAAAGCCTGAGGCCCAGCATCACCTTCCATGGCCTCTTGGGTGCTTTAGATACCAGTCCCCTGCTTCCAGTATTTCCTAGGCACCTACCCTTTGGGGTTAGGACTCCTAAAGGGCCCCAGCCTCTCTGCTTTGACTTTCCAAAGAACTGTGTGTGTGTATTTGTCAGCTGCATTAGTGGTCTGGGTGGCAGCGTTGATGGTGGAGCAGTCTCCAGGGACCATAGCAACATGAGCGCTAGCACCGCTTGTGAGAGTGGACTGAGTTTATTGGGCCTTACCTCCCAGCTCCACACTGATCTACACATGCATGTCAAGTATGTGAGAAGCAGGCATTGCGCAGGGTTGGGTGACTTTGAACTGAGCTGCCTGGAGGAAAAACGCCATTGGATAATTTCAGCTGTCAGAGTTCTTTTCTTTTCCCTTAGAATGCGCCAGAGTCTTCCATGCTGCAGGGGCTAAACTGGTGCTCTGTGGTCGAAATGTGGAAGCCCTTGAAGTACTCACCCGTGAACTTGCTGGTTCTCGCACCTCCCAGGTGAGTCTACAGCAAGGGTTCTGTGGGGAAGGAAGGACTGCCGTGGGCCACAGCAGCCCCTCTAGGACTGCTGAGCTACAAGGCATCCGTCCGTCCATGTGATCACATTGTACTGGAAGGCAGCAGGCTCCAGGTAGCTGAGAACTGTCCCCATTTTGTACCCCGACATGGCCATCAGCTGCCAGCCACCACTGCCTAGGCTAAGAGCTAGGGAAGTCCCCTGCATACTCATCTAGTAGGGTGCTGGCTGAATAAGTGATGATGATTTTTTTAAAAACAATTGTCTTCTGCTCTTCCAGAGATCCTGAGTTCAATTCCCAGCACCCACATGGTGGCTCACAAGTGAGATCTGGTGCCCTGTTCTGGCCTGGAGACATACATGCAGGCAGAACACGGAAATAAATAAATCTTTTAAAAAAATACTGTACTAATCTTTTTGAGACAAGGTTTCTCTGTGTAGCCCTGGCTGTCCTGGAACTGGCTTTGTAGACTAGGTTCGAATTGAACTAACAGAAATCTGCCTGCCTTCACCTCCCGAGTGCTGGGATTAAAGACATGCGCCACCAACACCCAGCAATACTAATAAATTTTAACATAATAGGTTTTACTCTTTGAGAAATTCACACATGCATACAATGTATTTCAGTCATATTTGCCACCCACTCTCTTCCAGCTCCTCCCCAATGTCCCTACCCCACCCGCCTCCTTTTAAAAATAACACACCAAGTCCAATTTGTGCTGCTCCTTCCTTCCTACAGTCTGTGTCAAACCCAATAGCACGAAGACCCCCTAGGGCTGTCTCCTGCATTCCTTGCAGGGCAGATCTAATGGAGCTGGGAATGCTGACATCTCTCCCTCACTTTGGAAGGGCTGTTATGCTATGTGCTGATTTAGTGTTTTCTTATAACTTTGGATATATCTGCCTGGTTTCTTTAGTCTTCAAGGGCTCTGGTGAAACATGGGTTGGTGTTTTTATGTGAGGAGCTGCTCCTGTTGCAGTTCTTAAGCCCCCCCCCCCCCGACAATTTTTGATAATTTGGCGCACTGTGCGTCACTAGCTCATGTAGTTGTGGTGGCCTCTTAGATGTCATTGAGTCATGTCTTCGGTTGTCCATTCCATATTTAAACATATCTCAGAGCTCCACGTTTCCTATGTTGGCCTACTTGATAGAATACTATAGATTTCTTGGACTCTGCTTTTGCTTTTGCTTTCCTAGACTTAATAATTTAAATGATTGTTTTGAGATCACAGATTTCTCTTTTTCACCTATTTTTAAACTCTAGTGTCTTTACCCCTTCACTTATTGTACTTAAGCTTATATTTTTGTTTGTTCATTTTTTTCAAGGCAGGGTTTCTCTGTGTAGCCCTGGCTGTCCTGGAACTCACACTGTAGACCAGGATGGTCTTGAACTCAGAGTTCTTCCTGCCTCTGCCTCTCAAGTGCTAGGATTAAAGGTGGTGTGTGTCACCACTGCCTGGCTAAAATTTCTTTTTGTAATTTTACCCTTTACGGAAATATGCCTTTTTTTTTTTTTTTTTAAACCTATTTCCTGTTGTTGCCAGTGTCTTTCTTCATTCTTTCAGCATTATAGAGATAGTTGTTTTAATACCTTTGTTATTAAATCTAGCATCTCAGCCTCCCGGGATTCTTTTTAGAGATGTACTTATAATTTTGATGTTCTAAAGCAGTCTTCGGGCAGCTGTTTTCAGTGCTGAAACAGCCCCCTGCCTCCATGCCGCACCCCAGCCTCAGGAGTAGGTCAGCAGTATGTGGAGGCTCAGTTCCTTCTTGCCTGCCCTGGGTCCCCCAAGTTGCACCAGAAATATGGTCTGCCTTTCCCAGAGTTGCCTGCCAGGTTTTGGTGGCTGCAGTCCACTCCTGGTAGCTGTGATTTGCCAGCAAAGCACTCCCTTGGAAGTTACATTCAGGTAATCCGGAACTTCAAGTCAGATGGAGACGGGTTCCCACAGCTTCCCACTCTTGACCTCTTCTCTGCCTCCCCCTCTTACTTTCTGCTTTCACTGAGCTTCACAGCAGCAGTTTTTGTGATTATAGAGGTTAACTGCCCTCCCACCCAGACTGGGTCAGGAGCTGTGTCTGGCCTCCTTTCTGTTGTGTCCCAGTGCCAGGCCTTCTGGGAATACATGAATAAAATTTCATAAACAGCCGAGTAGAAGTAACAACCTGGAGCAGATGGCATCTATGCACTGATGACGGTTGAGTGTCATGATATACAGTGTGGAGCAGCAAAGGCAGCTATTGTTAGTAGCTCATGTATGTGGTAATGAACACATGTATATTCACACCATACGAGCTTGACCTGTGGGTCTCACAGTCTGGCTGGTGAAGGTAAGAGGGGCCTGTGGTCACATCTTGTGGGGTATAGCAGTCACTTTCAATCTAGGAGAAATTTGCCCAGGTAGATGGGAATGCAACAGGAAGGAGCTTCATAGGCTGTATCTTTGGAAGAGGGTTGCCACAACCTATAGCATTTATGCAAAGTGGACCAGTCCCAAAACTCTGAAAATCAGGAGTTACTGTCACTAATGAAGTGCATTTTGTATTTTTTATTTGGCCAGGGACAGACACACAAACCTTGCATGGTGACCTTCGACCTCACAGATCCTGGTGCTATTCCTGTGGCAGCAGCTGAGATCCTACAGTGCTTTGGCTATGTGGACATCCTCATCAATAATGCTGGGATCAGCTACCGTGGTATCATCAATGATACCCTAGTGGACGTGGACAGGAGGGTGATGGAGATAAACTATTTTGGCCCTGTTGCTCTAACAAAAGGTGGGTGGCACCTTGGGGTAGGAGGTATGAGCACCAGTCATTAGAATGCCTGTTACTCTTGCTTGGTTTCCTTTCAGGGAGACACTACTTGCCCCTGTGCATTTTGCCCCTTGCAGTGGGTGTGGCCATTGGAGTCTGGGTGTTTCACTTTTTCTGGGTTTATATTTGCATCATATCTGTTTTGTGCCCTCACATCAGTGTTGTTCTTATTGATGCAGCTTTGCATTTCTGCTCCACAGTGCCTGTGTCCCACTAAAGGCAATATTTTGATGTACACAGACTTCAGATCAGAGGTCAAGCTCCCAGTAGGACAAGGGGACTGTGCTGTTTGCATGTTCTGTTCTCTCCTCCCGGTCCTCTGGTTCTCTGTGGAAAACTATAGTGTCTTCTCCAGCAGCACCAGGCACAGTGACTGGGAGATGGTGTCTAACTTTCCACCCTGTCCCCTCAGCGCTCCTACCCTCCATGGTCAAGAGGAAGCGAGGCCACATCGTCGCTATCAGCAGTGTCCAGGGCAAGATCAGCATTCCTTTTCGATCAGCATGTAAGTACTTTTATCTTCCTTTACCAGAGCATTTTATTTTTTTTCTGATTATTAAAAATAATGTGTTCATTTACTAGATCCATACATTGTAGGAATAAATATCCTTCAGATACATGAGTAATTTCTTCAAGAATGTTCTGTTTTTTTTTTTTTTTTTTTTTTTTTCTTGTTTGTTTTGTTTTTGTTTTTCTAGACAGGGTTTCTGTTGCTTTGTAGTCTGCCCTGGAACTAGCTCTGTAGACCAAGATGACCTTAAACTCACAGATATCCCCTGCCTCTGCCTCCCGAGTGTTGGGATTAAAAGCATGTACTGCCACCACCTGGCTCATTTGGTTGTTTTTTGTTCTCTTTTGTTTGTTTGTTTTGTTTTTTAATGGTTTTGTGTTTTTGAGACATAGTCTTTAGCCTTGGCTGTCTTAGAACTCCCTATATAGACTAGGCTGTCCTTAAACTCAAGAGATCTGCCTGCCTCTGCCCCCAAGTGTTAGGGCCAAAGGTGTGCACCCCCACACCCAGCACTGATCAGAATGTTTTAAGCAGTCCCACACCCTAGTTTAAATTCTAGTTTATTCCTTATCCTTTAGGTAACCTTGGGCAGGTGCTCCCTCCATATACTTACAAATGGAGACAGCTCATCCTGGAAGGCTGTTATGAGGAAGGACCTGTAGTGGCCCTGTACTGAAACCCTTTCAGGACTTTGAAGCATTTGGCTCCAACTTTTTTTTTACATAAAGTCCAACATCCAAAATGGGATTTTATTTTACATAATGTTTCTGACTTGTTAAACCACTAGATAATCATATAGGTTCTTTTAATTACCTCTAATTCAGTAAATGGCTGTGACAGAATTAACAGCCATTTTGATAGACTCTGGGGAATCTCCTTCCTCACCTCAGACTTTGACCTTTAGTAGTGATCTATGATAGACTATTCTTGAATATTGATATCTAGTTGTTCACAGGGAAATTGAGATAAGCCCCAACACCCAAACATTAAAAACACCCAGTTGGCTTCTAGTTATACACTGACTTCTACCTACCAGAGTGGCTGTGCTATAATTTCAGATGTCATTTCATTTGTCTGCCCTCCTGTTACACATGCAAACAAACACAGAGAGCAGCTGGCCGGCCCAGCAAAGGAGGGGCTGAATTGTTTCAACACTTAGAAAGGACAGTGACAACACTCAATTCAATAAAGGGTAGCTGGCCATTAAACAAAGGCATTTTCTCTGTCCCAGGCCTGGACCTCAGTTCTGCCTTTGGCTCCCCATGTGTGTCCTTGGACCTTCACTTAACTGAGACCCTAAGCTTTCTTCTGCCACACAGTCATCATCGCACATGCCTCCCAGCACTGGCTCAAAGATGCAGTGAGATGTGCTTTGTCATTTAACGCAGTGCAGCCTTAGTTTCTATGGATATTTCTCTGTTGTCTCATCATTATTTTAATCCTGTTAGCATTGGACAGTTACCTAAGGCTGCTCAGACGATTCTGCAGAAAAACAACCAAAACACCATAATCAGGAATGATTAAACAATGTTAATAATGGGTAAATTGGAGTAGAAGTTTACAGAGTATGTAATGAATTATTATTCTCCACATTTTACTTTGACTTGTTCCCATTAGTTTTCTCTAATTGCCCACTGACTAAAGCATGTATAGACAGTGGTGTGTATATTATATGGTTGACCAGATTGAGCCTGGCCAGCTTCCTAGGGAGATGGGGTTAACCCAGTGATGAACAGACTTCTTAGCAGTGGACTGGGAGAAATGGCCTTATCCCCTTTTGTAGTTAGTCTTCTGAGAAGTTCACAGCAGGGCATACACACCGAGGAATGTCACTGTGTGTGCCCAGAGGAGGGGCCAGCTTTACCTGGCAGCATTGTGGGCTTGGTGTGCACAGCATAGCTGAAAACCCATGGCCTGGGAGCTCTGGACCCAGAATGGCTGCTCTCCGCAGCCCTTGGGCTGCCTCCCGGAGTCACAGTTCCTGTCTGCTCATCCAGGCCAGCACCTCTGCTCACACTGCCCTGCTGCCTCCTGGTGCCCACTGTGACTCCTTGCTTTGTCCTTGCATTGTGTTTGGCTGATGGGAATCCCTTTAGACAAGTACTAAAACATGTAGGACTCCAAACTAGAGGAAACAGGTTTCCTATGGAGACACTGGTTTGTTTCCTAAGAGCCTCACTCAGGGTCTCCATGCCCCTGAGCACCTGACCCCAGACTGGGGACCTGCTGCTGGGGAGCACAGGGGCCTGTCTCAAGCAGAACAGGCTTAGGTTCCTCTATATGGAAACAGTCAGAAGTGTCCAAACTAAGCTTTGGTCTGCATGGCCCTTCATGAGGGAGGCTCCCTGGGGCCAAGCTGAGCAGCAACAAAGACTGGAACAACTTGTGAAGGCTCCTATGGGGTCCATTCTGTCATCGGGGACCTCCTCCCCCCCAGGATTAGATGGGCCCACTTGGCAAAACTGAATATATTTATAGGTGTGTGTGTATATAAACAACACATACACATCATATTTATTTTCTGAACCATTTGAGGATGCTGAAGGCATGGCAGCACTTTACTCCTATTAGCTCAGGATCTTCTAAGAGCAAGGACAAAGTGCATTTGGCAGTCAGGACATAAACATTGCTGTAGTGTTGTAATCTCTTAAATGGAAAACCTACACCAGCACCCTTTCTGCCTCTGTCCACACCTACAGATGCAGCCTCCAAACATGCAACCCAGGCATTCTTTGACTGTCTGCGTGCTGAGATGGAGCAGGATAACATTGAGGTGACTGTGATAAGCCCTGGCTACATCTATACCAATCTCTCTGTAAATGCTGTCACTGCTGATGGCTCCAGATACGGAGGTAGGTCTGGTTTCTTTCCTTCATCACCAAAAACTACATACTGACCATAATGCAGCACTCTGCTGGCCTAAGTGATTCTTGAGCCTGAGTGTTGGTCGCAGATGTGGACTACTGTATTCTTGGCATTTCCCCACTGAGACCCCCTTGGCCTTTATCATCACAAATTCAGCTTTGAGAACAAGATCCCCTGTATGTAGAGAACTGGGATAGCAAGCCCTTCACCAAACTTCCCACTAACTCATCAACAGATCCTAAGGCTCAAGGGATATTATAATTGGGACTAAGTAAATTGAACTCAGGGCTAATAGAGGTGTGGGGGTAGGGTCAAAGAAAGAAGGGGGCACTTGGTACAATCGGGTCCTGCCCAGGGTGTTGAGAAATGGCTGGTTTCAGGGACAGTGTTGAGGTGAGGCTGCATGGGGTGCAGCAGCATCAATCTCCAACCTCCTCAGCCAGAAGCAATGCCGAGCTGACTGCAGGTGCTCATGGGTTGAGCAGCCTGACCCCTGCTTATACATATAGGAGTTGACTTCCATCCTGGGTCAGCTGGTCCATGAGTGCTGGGACTACTAGAGCCAGCCTACCTTCCTGAACTTGGAGCACGCCTGTTACAGTCTGTGTGTGGTTCATGCTGCTGCCGCCGCCTAGGTCCTGCAGGTCTTGTACCCACCTGAGCAGGCCTGAACCAAGACCACCCCGATCTGGGTGGCTGCTTTGCCACAGCAAGTCTCTTCACAGAAAGCCACAGTGGTAAGAGCTAGACAGCTGCAAACCTAGCTGAACAGCTAGGTAGCTTTTTGTCCTAGAAAATTCAGCTCAAACCTTTCTCAATTTCCCATTCTCCTGTGGCAAACACGCAGTAAAGACTGATTCCTGTGGTAGCTCGGGTTCTGGGTGGCGTATGCTAATGGCCTCTTCTGTGTCTGCCAACTGGTTCTGCTCTGTTAGCAAGATGATGAGTCACTAGCAAAGAAGGAACATGAGATGCTGTTACCCTACACTCTCCTCCAGCTGTTCAACATCCAGCCTTTGCTGCCACTGGGAACTGGGACAGCTGTCAAGATGGTCTCTACCATTTCCCACTGACAGCCTGTGAACCAGCCAGCCAGAGTAAATGATATATCAAGATTCTCAGGCCAGTGAAATGGCTTATGGTTAACACTTGCCACCAAGCCTAACAACCTCTCTCTCTTTTTAAAAGATTTATTTATGTATTTATATGTATATGAGTGAGTCCTGTCTTCATGCATGCCAGGAGAGGGAATCAGATCCCATTACAAGATGGTTGTGAGCCACCATGTGGTTGTTGGGAATTGAACTGAGGACCCCTGGAAGAGCAACCAGTGATCTTAACCACCAAACCATCTCTCCAGCCCTGGCAATCTTTAGATGTGGGGTGGGGTCCACTCTAAGACCTACCTGTGCTATCGCAGACCATCAAGCAGGCACACTCACTAGTTAGTTGGTTCCACATTAACTGGTATACCCAGTCTGTCTTCCTGTCTGTGTCTCTATCCCCATTTACCTGCTTTGAACCATAAAACAGTTCCTCCTTTTCTCCTTCCAGGAGGAACTCTGAGAAGCTAGCCTCATGACTCCTCATATTCTTTTCCTTTTGTTTACTGTAGCTCTAGACAAGAACACAGCTCAGGGCAGAAGCCCTGCAGAGGTGGCCCAGGATGTCCTTGCTGTTGTGGGGAAGAAGAAAAAGGATGTGCTCTTGACTGACTTACTGCCATCCATGGCCGTCTATCTCAGGACTCTGGCTCCTGGGATTTTCTTCAGAATCATGGCCTCTAGGGCCAGAAGAGAGCGGAAATCTAAGAACTCCTGATATTGCTGAGCTGCTAGCCTGGATCAGTGTGATCAGACTGAGTACCACACCTTCCTGGGCTGGGGCAGCTCTGCAAGGGATCCACAGCTGAGACCTGCTAGAGGGTGGCCGTGCACTCTAAGGTGGACAGAAGCACTTCGGTTTTCACTGGTGGTGGGTTAGCCCTTAAGAAGTAAAATATGGAGTTGTGCTGGGACTCTTAAAGATGTAAAATAAATGAGTGAACTGGGTCAGAGTTCTCAGTAGAACCACATGTCCTCTGAATCCTGGACTTGCCGGATTCTGAAAGTGGTTCTGGGGGTTTACGAACAGGGTGTCCTAATAGCACCAACCCCAAATCTGGTTTATTTTTAGAGACAGAGTTTCTCTGTGTAGCCCTGGCTGTTCTAGAACTCCCTCTGTAGACTAGGCTGGCCTTGAACTCAGAGATCTGCCTTGTCTCCTGTGTGCTGGGATTAAAGGTGTACGCCACCACCACCAGGTGCATTTGCTGTTTTATTTTATTTTCCTTCCCTGGTATTCTCCCCCCCCCCCCCCCCCCACTTTTCTGTAACAGTTTGAGTTTCACATCTTACATGGGGATATTTGACCTATTTGGAATTGACTTACAAAGGGTGACATAAAAGATCTAGTTTTGATTTTGGCCATGTGAATGCCCAGGCCTCACAGCACCATTTGTGCATTTTTTGTGAGAAATCAGGTAGCTCTAGCAACGTGAGTTTTTATCTGTGTCCATTAATTAATCTGTGTCTGTGTTCAATGCCAATACCTTGCTGTTTTTGTTACTATGACTCTGTAATATAACTTGATGTCATTTACTAAGGTGGTAACCTCCCACATTTACTCTTTTTGCTTAAGATTACTTTGTTTATCTAGGATTTTTTGTGCTTCCAAGGTTGGTTTTTCTAGTTTTTACTTTATTATTTTTAAGGGTGGCTTTTGAGCTGGGCGGTGGTGGCACACGCCTTTGGTCCCAGCTTGTGGGAGGCAGAGGCAGGCAGATCTCTGGGAGTTCAAGGCCAGCTGAAGCTACACAGGGAAGCCCTGTCTCAAAAAAAAAAAAAAAAAAAAATCAAAAAGCTTTTGAATTTGTGGTGCAGTTGCATTGAATCTGTAGATACCATTTGATATGGTAGCCAGTTTCCATCCTTCCTTTTTTCCCCTCCCAGACTGTTATCTGTCTGGGCTCAAATTCTCTGTGGCCAAGGATGGCCTTTAACTCCTAATCCTCCTGGCCCTCCCCCCTTCAAGTGCTGGGTTTCCATGTGTGTGTTACCATGCCAATTTATAGAATGGTAAAGATCATTCACTTATAAACTGAGCTACACCTGTAACCTAAAATAGTCATTTTCATAAGAATGGAGGTTTTTCATCTTCTAATGTCCTCAATTTTTCTTCTTCTTTAATTTCTGCTGGGATTAAAGGTGTGCTCCACCAGTGTTTGGCCAGCTTCTTTCTCAAATGTTTTAATGTTTCCTTTGTAGAGGCATTTAAGTTCTCATACTAAAGGGGCTTCTCAGTTCTACTTTTCTGGTGGAGTCTTTAGAGTCATGTAGAAGCATAATTTGCAAGGATAGTTTCCCCTTTTCTATTTGTTTTATTTGCTTCTCTTGTTGTTGAGCTGTTATGGGTGTTTGGTCTGCATGTATGTCTATGTACCATGTGCAATGCCTGCTGCCCGTGGAGGCCATAGAGTACATCAGATTTTCTGGAGTTACTGCTGGGTTTTAAGCTATCATGTGGGTGCTGATAATGGAGTTTGGATCTTCTGGAAGAGCAGCCGGTACCTTTAACCACTGAGCTATCTCTCCAGTGCTTTGTACTTCTCTCTTGACCCTGATAGGTGACTAAAATGGCTGCAGATAAGCCTAGGGTCAATGTTTGGAGGCTTTCCAATTCCCTGGGAGAAGAAAGGTGAGTGGGTGATCAGGCCTGAGGCTTATTGACCCTGGTTCACACCTTGTCCCAAATGGCCCAAGAACGGTGGATGAAACGTGGATAAAGGTCATGGGTGGCCTCTCATCATCCACCCTTCTGCTAGGGAGGATCATCACCAGCAGCAACTGTACTTACTTGGGCTGCATGCATCCTAGTCCCTGGAGGCAGAAAGCTACAGAGCACTGAGCATGTTCCCAGTGAACGGCAGCAGGGATACTCCCCTATATGGAATGAGAATGAACGCCTTCTCTGACACTTGTTGGCTGGCACTTTGAGAAGAGTCACATCCAGCTACCATTCTTTCCTCTCCATTAAAGTGGTAAGCCATAGTAACAGCAAACTCAGTCATCAGAGGACGGAACATGAAACTGGTCGAGGGGGTTGGTTTGAGAGACACTGGTAGGTAGCTTGGAGCTGCTGAGCCCCCACAAGTGAAGGCACCAAGGATTCAAGTAACCTGCACATACACGAACACTCTGTCCTTTGCTTCCCATGCCAGATGACGCCCTAGGTCTGAGGGCAAGAGAACCACCAGCAAGGTTCTGTCATGCCAGTTACTCTAGCCAACCGGAGTGCTCCCTTCCTACCCGCTGTCACCCAGATGCTTGGAAGGCCCAGTCCTAGCCTGCCTTCAACTCATGCTCTCAAGTAAACTTTATTCCTGACATTTTCAGCCCAGCGCCTTAATGTGAGCAGCTGTTCGACTTTCTGTCAAGGTTCAGTCTCCATCTTGCTCTTTAAACCTTGTGGTGTCTGGCCCATCCTACAGGGCAAGTAACAGGTTAAGTTCATGCCCCATGGGCTCAAGGGCAGGTACTGAACCAGATGTGTAAAGGGGTTAGATCTGCACGTCCATGTTTCCTGTTAACTGCCCCTTTATAGAGCTCTTTGATCTTGAAAGTGGGTAAGTAGGCAGGCAGTTAAGACTAGATTGATTGGTTTGTTAAATTCATCCCATGCCCTAAAAGGGTCACACAGAACTCTTTATCAGGTGGGTTTCCAACAGGAGGGCCCAAGCCACATGGCTTTTCTTTCTTCTCAACAGAGAAAGCTATTGTGGAAGCGTTGTGGCTATCACTAGATAGCTGCCCATCGCAGAGCCCAGCCCAGGCACACCCATCTCTACCCTGCTGGCTAAGGGCCAAATTACCAAGATGGCATTTCAGAATCTGGGTTAGTCCACTCAACAAGAGTCACTTTGTTCAGTGCAGCTTGGGAAATAGGAAGGAGCTATTTGTACCTGGTTTCTATTTTTGGCAAGGGCATCTGCTTATCTGTAATGAGGTTCTCCAGCCCAGTCACCCCCCACCCCCACCCCATGCAATCTGATGTGCTGAAAGAACATAGCCAAACCAGGTGACTACTTGTTACAAAACCCCTCCCACGCTGTGCTTGCCCATCAGGCTCAGAACCAGCCTTCAGCCACTGAGGATTCTCACCCTGCAGAGACCTGTTCCTCTGGGATTGCTTATGGCTAAGGCAGTTACCTCTTCAGCATCCCTTGACCCCACCATATGCCACATGCATATTGGTTGCATACTAACACCATCTTATCACTGAGCACTCAAAGTAAGCCATTAGTATTTCTACAGTATTTGGAATTAAGCCAAAGTTTTTTGTTGTTGTTGTTATTTTGTTTTTTTAACTTCTAAAAAATTTGAGACAGGGTTTCTCTGTGTTGCTTTGGAGCCTGTCCTGGAACTTGATCTTTAGACCAGGCTGGCCTTGAACTCAGAGATCCTTCTGCCTCTGCCTTCCGGAGTGCTGGGGATTAAAGTTGTATGCCACCAATGAATGCCTGGCTAAGCCAAAGGTTTTTTGGTTTTTTCAGTTTCTTATACTGTGTGGGCTTTTTAAAATCTCACCCAAACCCTGGATCTCTTCTATTACAAATGTTTCAATCACCCCTGGGAGTTCTCTAAAACCTTTGCTTCCCTTATACCCAAGTCAGGACCCCTTCCTGATGATGGGCATCAGAACTTCCTATGGAGAAGCTAGTTTGATGATCACTAAAGACCACAGAAGCACTATGCCCCAGCCTTTATGCAGATCATTTTCCACTTACTGAAAACTTTAGAAAAAAAAAGACACAAAGCTGGGTTCAGTAGCACATGCCTTTAATCCCAGCACTCAGAAGGCAGAGACAAAGGATCTCTGAGTTCCAGCCCCAGCTGGTATAGACAGCAAGTTCTAGGACAGCAAGAAAGACTGTCTCAAAAAACCAAAACCAAAAAAACCTTTAAGACTCACCACCCTAGGCAAAGGTGCCTCCCACGGCCGGCCTGGGGCATTGGATTGAACTCAGGGCTACACAGCAGAGATTTGTTTCCTATGCTCTTTGGAAAAGGGCTTCTGGGCTTGATGTCCCTAGGTGAACTAAAGGGAGACCAAGGCCACCTTATCCTACTATGTCTGGCAAACAACTGCCAACGGGCCGTGACTGGACTGGACTAGCAGGCCAGAAGCCAGTCCTCTTATGTTGTGCATTCTCTTTTTTTGGCAGAATATCAGCTCTAGTGCCACTCTGCTGCAACAAGTTGCAGCAGGGTGTGTCTGCAGCACTTGTCTGCCCCACATACAGCAGCAGCTGCAGGCACAGGCATAGAAAGAGAACAGAAGTTGAAATTCTCATAATTTTAATGGTCAATAGCTTCCGGTTGGCTTCTGAATGGTATAGTTAAACAATGTACTTAAGACACCCACAGCAAGTTCATACCCCTCAGTAAGTAGCGTTGGCGCCATCCATATTCCATTGCCCAGTCAGACTTCCACAGCCTGGGACCCACTCCTGGGTTATGGAAAGAGACATCTTAGTGTAATGAGCTGAATAAACCCCTGGCATACCCATGATCTGTTATGTTATTTTTGCTTAAAAATAACAAGTTTTAAACCAAACACTTTCCCAGGTGCTGTTGCCTCATGGAGAAAACCCAAGGTGGTGTTGTAGGGATCTGAGTCCTGTGGGCCCTGTGGTTCTGCTTTGTGTCCCACTCTCCTGCAGTCATACAGCGTAGAGCTCATAAACCTTCTTTACACAGTACACCAGGGCAGCCAGTGCTATTGTGTTGTGCAATCTCTTTCTGTGCAGGTCGTCCTTCCGAACCAGCACCACTGGTGTGGAGGAGGTGAGCGTGTGCAGAGGCAGGCGGGACAGTTTATAGGCATCATACTCCACCTGGTACTTGCAGCAAGGGTCAAACTGCCAGGAGATCCCATAGAGCGTACAGCAGGCCAGGCTTAGCACACCAGCAGGCAGGGAGATGTAGTGGGAGTAATCCAGAGGCAATGCCAATGGGGTGAAGAGGCAGGCAGTGCCAGCCAACACAGCCGTCTTGTGCAGGCAATTGCCCACGGTGATCCAACGTGCTGTCTCATCTCCAATTCGGGTGGGTTCTATCAC